AGAGTGTCCCCAAAGGGATTACTAACAGGTAAAACCCACAGATCTTGCAGACTGTGCTCACTGCCTATAATCAGATGGACAGTGTCTCTCAAGAGACAGGGAACTACTGGAGAAAGTCTAGCAGAGGGCAATGAAGATGACTGGGGGACTGAAGCATCTTTCTTACAAGGAAAGGTTGAGAGAGCTGGGACTCTTCAGCGTGGAGAAGGCTGAGAGGAGACCTCAACATCTATAAATATCTAAAGGGTGGGTGCAGGGAGGATGGAGCCAGACTCTTTTCAGCAGTGTCCAGTGACAGGACAAGGGGCAATGGGCACAAGCTGGAAGACAGGAAGTTTCATTTAAATATGAGGACGAACTTTACTGTGAGGGTGACAGAGCACTGGCACAGGCTGCCCAGGGAGGTTGTGGAGTCTCCTTCTTTGGAGACTTTCAAAACCCACCTGGATGTGTTCCTGTGCGATGTGCTCTAGGCAATCCTGCTCTGGCAGGAGGGTTAGACTAGATAATCTCTAGAGGTCCCTTTCAACTCCAACCATTCTGTGATTCTGTGAAATAAACTCCCACTTGCTGTCAGTGTCTGCCCTGAGATTACAATACTGCTTTGCTGTGTGTACACAAACCGATCAGCAGAGGATATGTTGCTGAAGTCCCTCAAACATCTTTCTAAGGGATTTCCTGATTATTTTAGCACTTCTGTCCAACTTTTAAGAGTACTAACATATGTTCTGGTATGCACAGTTTTGCTTAAATATAGCATACAAGCATCTAAATAGCTGTCATCTTCAGTGAGCTCTTCAGGGTTTTCACATCTAGCATATTAATTTATCCAAGGCAGGCTCAGCATACATTTCTCATACACACACCAGTACTTTTCAGTCAGATAAATTAGCACCTCAGATTTTTATCTCAGAGGTAAACTGGTATTTGGAGTGTTTTACAGATGACAGTATTCTAACCTGAAGTGCTGCAGCATCCTGACCATTGTAGTGATATAGGAGACCAAGGGCAAAATATCTGCACAGAAAGAAAATATAATATTAAAATCACTAGATCTTTCTACCAATTTCATTATGATTTGATTACCACAGAATAATAATTATTTTCTTACAGCATCTTTCTTAGGTGACGTGTCAAATTGGAGATGCTTCCCATGCCGTTTTTTTAATTTTATATACAGACTTAACATAGAGCTCCAAATAATAAATACTCCTCCGACAGTTAATCAGCTGTCACTAAATCAAATTTTTATGATGCTTTTACTCAAGACTCTGTTTTACTATCATAAACGTTTTTTTCTTTACTGCAGCATGAAATCAAGTCAGGCAAGGAAAAGCTTTGTACAGTGTCACTGCAGAGTCTTTTTTGTGTCCTGTAATAAAAGTGCAGCTAAAGCTCTATAATGGCTGTTCTCATGGAATCATGTTCTACCCTTCGCAAAGTTTGCCATGCAAACCACACTTATCAAAGGGATTTAACAGAACACCTGAAATAAATGAATCTACCCTAAATCTAAACACAATCGAAGACTCCACCTGCTGTCAACTTACCTAATGTTACTACCGTACCACACAGTTTAAAGATTAAGAAATTCAATCCAAGACAGAGATATTACCTATGACTGGACTTGGTTTTATATGCATTTACTATCTAGTGTTTCCTGCTTAACGACAGTCAATTCTCCACCTGCTGGTGTCTCCCATTTACAGTCATCTCAGGCAATCTCCCTTTGGTCAATGAGTGAGAGCACAGAAAGCACACAATTCTAAAGTAAGATCTTTTTCCATGAATAAGCAACCACAATTTCAAAGCCACTTGCTGGTTAATAGCTTCTACCTAAGGTAGCACATGCACCTTTTCATTCTGTCCAAGTACTACCACTGGGTCCATTCAACCCTCACATTGTCACAAGGGCAAACAAATATTTATTTGTTTTCTCCAAAATTTGTATCAATCCTTTATTTCTGTGTTGGACACAGAAACGTTCAGAGAGATCTCTGTATTTACCAGCATAAAGACAGAATGCATTTCTTTTACCTCAGACTGTCCACTAATACCTTCTCACTAACTTTTTTGTAAAGTTGTCTTTTGGAACTTAAAGCACAGAAACTACGAGTATTTGAACACATTCATCTAGAAGCCAATAGCATTTAAGACAATTTTCCATCTGGTCTCAAAGGTGAAACACTCAAACAATCCACTCACTTTTTGTGTTTTTCCAGCCAGGCAGCACTATCTGTTAAAAGACAGAAGTTCTCTGAAACGAGTAGATCCAGCAGGCTTTCATGATTTGCCTCTGCGTACAGTTTGAGTAAAGCTGTGTCGATATCTTCCTTGTAGCCATTTGCAACCTCAGTGCTGCGGACTTCGTTCAAGTAACTCATGAGGAATCGCTTGCATTTTGTCATCTTCTCCTGGTCCCCTTGCGTCAGCTGGTTTAGGTCCGCGTACTCATGCAGGGGAGGATGAGACCGTATAAATGAAGAAGAAGTAGGCAACAGGAAGGGGTAGAGAGAGATCAGCTCCCGGACATCAAGCTGGCCGCTTCTGCAATTACAGTGTCAAACTAGATGAAGCAAAAAAGAAAGAAAAAGTATACATAGGCACAAAAAAATAACATACTAGGAATGCGTGCTCACATATGCTTAGAGTCAGGACACTAACAGGTTGTCAGTTTTTGGAAGTTACTGCCTTCTCCGCTGGAGAAAATATATCCAGAACAGATTTAGTATTATTTTATTTTTTGCTATTTCTATCCAAATCTTCCTCCTCTAGACATTGAAAGCTCTGAGAACTCAGAGACTGGCCAGCCTTTTGCTTTTGACATCCCACAGCTGTTCTGTGGCACAGAAAAAAAATAAAAAAAAAATCAAAAAATCAGCTGAATAACCTTAGTGCAGTTCCTAGGACTGTCCCAGATTTCATCCATACATTATGGCAGGGGAAAAAAAAAAAGAAATGGAGAACGTGAACCCTTGTACCCTTTCAGACAAGCTATGAAGACTGTGCAAGTGTAATTCTATACAAAAGAGAAACTTCCTGTAGAAACCTAAAGCTCTCAGACCATGTATTTGGATGATAAAAATGTTCTTGCCAACCCTGAAATGCACCAGATTCTTCATTTCACTAACTTCTTCATGAGGTTTTGAGAAATGAACCAGAAATTATGCAGCCTTCAAACCACCAAGCAGTAGCCTATTGTACAGGCACGGGTCGTGGGTGTCCACCTGACATATCAGCTACTACTGAGTGGCTTTTCCACTTCGCATGTGAAGGGCATCTATACTTTAACCATAGATAAAGTAACATAGATATGCTACATAAAACACTTTTCTGTCAGCCTTGATTGAAGATATTCTTCAAGTATTTGAAGAATACATGTTGTGACATAAAAATAAAATGAGGTTTTTTTCACACATGGCAAACAACTCCCCCATTTTGGCAGCTAGAATGCTTCCTCCTTCCAGGCCTTGATTTAGAACAATAGCAAGAAATCAGGATTTATATTTTATTTCACTGTCCAAGACATTATTCAGAATTGCTCCTTAAAGATGAGCATTCCTGAAATGCAGCAGATATTGTAGCAAGTAAAACTTTCAAAAAAGAGTTCTTATCTATCCAGTGATCAGCAACCTCAGAAGGGCTTTGCTTTCACAGCCTCGATTGGAAAGAATTCCAAAAAGACACAGGTTTAACCATAGAACTGGGTAAAGCAGAAGATTTCTCCAGGAAATGAAGTGTGAAAGATCCTCACAAGCAGGCTCATCCCTTCCCTGCTGTTGTGAAGTAACTAAAGAAGTGGGGCACAGCCCAAGTTGCTCACTTCTTGCCAGAGAGACAGTTCCAAAACCATCCAGGAAGTAGGAACCAGTAGAAGGCATCATCATGGTAACACCTACGCAAAACTTTTTTTTTTAAAAAGTAAATACTGTTCCTTGGCTACAAAAAAATCTCTACCAGAAGAATGAAATTCTGGAGACAGCAGCAACAGCAAATTTAAAATAACAAGTGTTCCGTACCAGAACCTAGTGACCACAACGCATGGGAACAGCAACTTGAACTACAGAGGACGAACTTGAACAGAGAAAAACCTGAACATAGGAAACCTTCCTAGAAGAGGTTTGAATAGCATGTTTTTCTGATTTGTACACAGAGCTCCTGTTGCCTAAAAAACACCTCCACACTAAAAAGGCCAGTCTCTAAGCAAGAGTAAAGTGTTCATGTGCAGATTTCTGCAGTTAAAATTATCTTTTAATCCCTTTTTTCAGAATTGATATTTTGTTTTGAAATTCTTTTCTTTTGAAACTGAACGCGAAAGTAGACCAGGACTTTTTTTTTTTTTTTTTAAGAGGCACAATAATCACGTAGCAAGTTCTGTCAGTGGTGTGACCTGATGGTTCAAAAAGCATTTGAGCTTTCAGTATGAACTCATTACAGTAACCTAACTGCAGCTTTGGATAGGCCAACTACCTGTGAAAGCTTAAGACTTGAGGACCACCAGATAAAACATATTCCACAAGATGTATTACGCTATAAAGTTAACCCTATTTAGAGAAAGATGAGATTTTTTTTTCCCCTCCAAGATGCTTCATAGATTTGTTTTAGAATAAAAATCAAGCCATAACTTGAATAACATCAACAGGCTGCTCAAAACTAATGCAGAAGTAAGAAGTCTTGACAAATCTGCAGAAACTCACGGATGAACATTAATTCCCTTGCTGGCTATGTTGTCAAGTATTTGGAGATGGCCTAAGCTTGAGATGGAGACTACAACCATGACAATGGATGAAGAAGTTAAAATGCTATATACCTAACATGCTACTTTTAATAAGTTCTAAAACATTTTCCAACTAAAGCAGCAAAAACATAATATATAAATCACAACTTTATTAGCAAAATCACAATTCTGCATTGCTTGAAACAGAATTTTTTAGACCAAATAAGCCCCACTGTGACAGCTCATTCAGTTTCAGGTTCCTGGATCAAACTGAAGAAAGTTCTCCTCCCTTTGTTGAACTATTTGAGTTTCAGTAAAGCTACCACTTATGCATTCTTTCATCTTGCCATCCAGTTCTTCCTAGATGAGGCAGGAGTCAGCTACTTTACCTCTGAACTTCACAGATTCTGGCTCTAACGACTGTCTGTTTCCAAAAGAAGTATCAAAATCAGCTTCCAAGTCAGGCTAGCTCAAACCCTGAGCTGTGGATCACCAGCGGTTCTCTCCTCAGATCTGACTCAGGCTCACATTGTAGTTCTGCCCTCCCCACGGTGACCGCAATCAGCAATCAAGCAGCCTCCTTAAAAACACAGTATCATGCAGAAAAAACTTCAGAAAAATACCAAATGCTGCCCAATGACCCCACCTGCATGAATGGTTAACATTCATCTCAAGGCTTATGGCTTCTGGGATCTGTGGATGCCTTGTTGATCTTTCTACCACATTTGGAGGAAAGAACAGCTACAAAGGACCTCACCTCTCTTGAAAAACACCTTTGAGTCTTCAACTTCCAGCATCTCAGGTTTAGCAAAATATAGCTAGCAACTTAACACAAAGTAGAAAACAGGCTCTTAAGACAAGTCAAGCTGTCAATGTTAAGAGGCAACTTCCCTCTGAGTAATTCTGTGCTAAGTCTTTTGGGCTTCCTAGAGACAAACAATGCAACAGGCAGAATCTGCAAGTTTCAGGAAACTTAGGTCTAAATTCATACACTTAAATTTACAGATAACAGAGATGTCAAATATGCCTACATGATTTAGCAGTGTTGCCTAGATCCCACTGGCTGTAACAGAAGATTACGTTCTTGAATCACATTTAAGATGCAAACCTCAAACCAAGTCCTACTTCTTATGTCTTCAGGCATGAGTATCAGCAATTTTTTAATCTTTTCAGTGGAAGAGAGACTTCAGCTATGTCTCCTATATGCTTTCCCAGGTGAGACAACACTGTGTCAAGAGTTAACATTTTGATTTGTTAAAAGAGCAAAGTTTAGAAGAGTTCCAGTATCTGGCATGTCAGACTGTAAACAACATCTAACCAGTGTAAGGACATAACCACACACACTGGAAAGAAATGGTTTCACCATAACAGCTACAAATATCTGGGTGAGACAACTAGAATTTAGCAAACAGTCTGCTAAACATCACTGTTTGGTCTGTGTGTGAGCTTCTGAGGACAGCAATGTGAAACAGCAAAAAATATAATGTATGTATCACAACCATGTAACAAAATCAACTCTCTAATAGCTTATAACAGAATTTTTCAGACCAGAAAAGCCCCACTGTGACAGCTCGCTCAGTTAAATGTTTCTGGATCCAGCTGAAGAAAGTTCTCCTCCCTCTGTTGAACTATACAGAGTAAAAGCTACCACTTCCCTTCCTTTTTTGTCAACCTTCTTCGGTATTCAGAAGTATCAGCATAACCAAAAGAAACTTAACGGGAAAGTATTCAGCTAAAAAGTTTCAGTATTTAAGAACTACAAAGTTAAGCATAAGATGTAACAATATCTTGGCAAGGTTATTCAAAAAGGATTATTGATGCAAGAAAACGAGATCTTCAGTCCTATATAAGCATTTCCCTGCTAGTCTGCAACTGTCAGGTATTTTCTGAGGAGTGACAGAACCTCACTTTGTATTTGACCAGAAGTAACATCAAATTCTCGGAAGCACTGTTGTCATTCTGTTTCACTGATAAATCCATCTTCTTTCAAACAGGTACCAAGTTTCCCTTTGGCATTTTAAGACTGAAGCTATTTCTGACTAACGCTGCCTTCAGATACCTGCAGGGAAACACATGGGTACAGGAGGAAGTGTTTGCACAGACTGCCAAGCTCTTCCCCATTTTTCTGCTGAGCATCAGTAAGTCTAAAATGAACAAGATTATTTGAGTGCATATTGGGACATAACCAGATATTACTTGAACTGGGTGTGTTCACTAGGGCTGAAAATCAGGGAATCTGGATTCTCGAAGGATTTTTTCAGAGTTACAAAAATACTCTGAATAGCTTATGTATGTCTGACCAGAAGAAAAGCAGAGAAAACTTAACTTTGCTTTCTACCCACAGCAGACTTCAGCTATTCCTGAAGAGCTCTTCTGCTCTGGAGCTGTAGCTTTTAGAGGAAGGGACCCTGGCATGTTCCAAAATTCAGGCCTGGACATCACATTTTCTCATGAAGGATGTTTCCTTCTGTAGAGAGGCTTCCATGATCCTGTTCATTAAAGCTCATTTGTCAGATGGACTCCTAGTTGGACGGAAGCTGCAAAACTGATTTTGGCTCCTTCCATAAGGTGCTGGAGGAGCTCACTGCAGGATACATCTCCCTCTTTTCACTGCTTTTAAAAAATTCTCCAGTCACTACCAGCAAGGCAAGGCCCCCAGATTAGACCCCACAGAAAATTACTGCCAGGCAGGGTGGAATAAAGTGATAGAAAAGAAGCTGAAGTATCAGCCATAGTAAAAGACAGCTGCAGAGGTACACAAGTCTGGCCAAGACAATTCATAGCCAGTACAACCTCAACAAGCCATTTTACAAAAAAAAAAAACGTTAAAAAAAAAAAAAAGTCCACGGTTCCCACTTGTGAGAACATTCCTAACTATGAACAGTTTGTACTTCTACTTCAGATACATAACACAGTTGCGACTCAGTCTAGTGTCTGGAAGATCAAGGGGAGGATGAAGGTTGCAAGTTGCTTGTTCATGCCAAAAAAATTAAAGGTGATACAGAAGTGGCTGTGGCCAAAACACATTGCCATTAAATGATGTTCAGATCTTTCCTGCCATTCTCTAATTACTCAGTGTACACTGCCCGTTCAAGCCCAGTGCCTCCGATTATCCTGGTAAGCTGGAAGGAAAATGGCAAAGTCTCTCATCAGTAGTAACATCCCCCAAAGCTTTGGTCTCCTTGTTACATTTCTATAAATCCAAGGACAACTTTTCTTATACTGCACACACTTAGAACATACAACAAATTGTTTTACCTTAAATTAGTTTTGAGTCTATGGAATAGAATTAAAGTGTATTTTAGAGGACAATAAGGAGAGTTATTTTATGTAGTCTGCACAGATTACACTAACTCTGGACAGTGCCCCATCACAGAATGAGGCACAGCTAGCAGAAATGAAATTACTAGGTAAAATAAAGACAATGATCAGGTTTGTTTGTTTTGTTTTTAAAGAAGTGGAATACCAAGGTTAATTTGCAGGCAAGCACTTGCTGAAACAGCTAAATCAGAAACATGTCAGAACAAATCAGAACAAATAATCTGCAAAAGGCCTAGCAGAACAAGTGTTAAAACAAATTCAGTATCAGCATCCTCCAAAAAAATTTGTGCAATTGTGTGAATAATATTTAAATTGTAACTAATATTTAAATTGTAAACTTGTGTTAAATTTTCATTTAAAAAAAACCCCCAAAAGTAAAAAAATCCCTAAATTTCTACATGTACAACACTCAGACTACAGGATTATAGTCTTAATGCTACTGTAAAATAGCACAGCAAAAATCAGTTGCATTAACTCCTCAGTTACAAAGCTTTTTCAACATTTTTGTGTTCTTACACCCAATAAAACCATTTGAACACAGGTGCTTGAAAAAAAACATTCAAGTGACTAAGTTCTCAAAACCAAAACCACTCAGTCCTTATTCGAAGAAGGTAAATTAATACATTTCTTATCACACAATTACCTGAAGAGTTCTTTTGCCTCAAGGAACTGAAGCTGTGCAAACTGTATAAAACCTGCTTGCTGCAGGATTCGTTTGTACATTACCTACGAAAGAGAAGGGGGAAAAGATTTATTATACTAATAAGGAGTTATTTACATAGTGCTAGTCACTACTGCAATAACTACCTGCCACAAACACTGAAGATGTGATCTACAACCAGAACTGTCAAGTTATATGCAAAATAAAGCTTTGATCTTGTACATTTTAAGCTAAGTGTACCTGAATGTAATGAATCTGCTGCCCAGATTCAGGTTCTTAGGCAAAAATGCATGAACATAACACTGTTCACAAGTACTTACTAAAAGTCAACCAGTAGCAAGTGTAAGTTTTCTTATTCAAATAATAGCTGAGATCAGTCTGACTCATCTCAAGCTTTTGCTTGTATTTATAAAGGTAAAAGGCAGTGATCACCTTAGAAGTCGCCCATGACTCAGCAGAGCACAAAAAAATAATAATTTAAACTCAAAGGTGGTCCTGCTTCACCACACACAGCCAACTTTCTCCCCATCTCATCACACTTACGCAGCAACCTTGCTAGCGATTCTCAGTCTCATCCCCAGCTGATGAGTGTATTTCTGACATTTTGCCAGTTTTGGGTTTTTTTCTCAACAAAAATACTTTCAAAGAAGTTCAATATATCCAATATGTAGTACGTTATGCAATGTATGTAAAAATATGGTTAAAGAGAGGAGCACAAAAAAACCATAGAGGAAGTTACGTGTTATGAAGTTTTTACTGTTAAGGTAATACCTAGACAGAAAAACATTTACAAGAAGTTCACTAGAAGAACACAAAACTACTCTCAATGCTAGGTATTTACTTAATCCAAACGGTCAGTTAGTTGCTACAAGATTAAATTAAACCCTCATGCCCAGAATATTTTCAACTGCAAATGAGAATTATCAAAAGCAAGGAATGTAAACTGCTCTGTAAAGCATCTACTCTTTGTGACAACACTGGCATTTCGCGAAAACACCTGCCGATATCCACATGTCCCCAGCTTTTCCCTTCAACCTTCTCGTGACTATACAGCTTTCTGCTGTGCAGTAGGATACATGCAGGCTGTTATTAATAACATACAAATTAATAACAGTGAAAGCACCCAGAGAAACTGAACACAAACGACATATTCCAGGCCGAAAC